TAAAAGTGTGAGGACAGATTGAATGTAGACTTGAAGGAAGAGAAGGAAAGATGAAGGAGAAATTTAAATTTAGCTGACTGATTTCCAGCTGGGGTGAGATGTGATGTGAGGCTGTACATCTTGAGCAGAAGACTTAAAAAGTCATGGGGCTTGTAATAACAAAAATCTTCCTCAAATTTTTTATTGGAGAATTTTAGAAATTATTATTTATAGCACTTAATTTTGTGGAAAATAATAAATAACCACCCTTCAGTTCTAAGGTCATCTAAGATTTTTAATTTATTTTCACAAAATAAATGGAAAGAATCCATGTGTCAGATTTAGGTGGATATCAAATGGATGTTTACATATCAAATGAAAACGAAAGACAAATATGAAAACTGAATTAGTTCTAATAGCGCCAGTTTCCAATAGATGTCACTATTAGAGTTGTCGACTATTTCAGTATTAATGGGCAAGATAGACGCATTCGGAGGTCCCATTACCCGATCAGCGGACGGATGCCCCGCTCTCCGGTGAGCGGCCGAGGGTCGCAGGGGCAACGCCCCCGAGCCCGTAGGCAGTTTTGGCCTTTTTCATGTAAAACCGTTGTAGGATTTCTTGTAAGTTATTAATTCCTTATTGGGTTGAGCTTAATTAGGAATAGGAATCCTTGTAAAACTAGTTTTATTCTCTTAAACCTAATATATAAACATATTTTTCTCTTGTTATGTGTGATAGCAAATCATAGAGCAATTTATTCATTGTAAACGAGAGAGGTGAGACATATTACAATAATATTGACTCAGCTGGACGTAACCTACATTGGGTGAACTAGGGTAAATCGCGCGTATTATTTTCTTTGTTTACTATTTGATTTGTTTTACTGTTATATTTTGTTTCTATTGTTATCTCTATTTCGTTCAGTCACCTGTTTTGATCTTTATAACTCGTCATGAAAGAGGGGAATTATTTAAGTTATGATGTACCTTAAAGAGCTTTCGAAATTTAGTTTGTCTTTTTTATGGATGTTATGTAATGTATGTTTATGTTTGAGAATAAAAATTTATGAGATTAATTCAAGCAAATTTATGATTAATTGAAACAAAGTTATATCCAAGCATAGCAGCAGGAAGACCGTAGATCATGTGTGCCAATGTATATGAGAAGCATTTTAGAAGTTATATTCTTGTTACCAGGGTTTCCAAAAAATTGTTTGAAGTAACAAGGCATAAATGTTTAAACATAGCATAAGGTTACTCTACAAATTTTATTATATATATATATATATATATATGACTAATATGTAAAAACATCTTGTGCCTTTATAATAAAAATGATAACATCGATCATTTCTATGCTTATTCCAATTAACAAAAAGTGCATACAATATTACAAAAACTCCTCATTTCAATAGCTTGTTAATTCAATGGTAAATAAAAATATCATCTAACAATAATATAAAAATGTGTAACATTAATCCACAGTAACTATATATAAAATAATAATAACTAAATAATACAACATATATCATCGAGCACACATACAGTTTACAGAAATTTAAAAGAAAAGAAAATCAGAGGTGTTAGAAGAAATTTATAAGATGGTACCTGAGAGTGTGAAAGAGGTTCTGAGTGAAAGTATGGAAGGAGAAGAAAACTGAAGATGAAAAGAGATTACAGTAAACATGAATCAATTGATTTTAATTGATTACAGTGGAGACCCACCACGTGAAGGGAGGAAGAAAGCAATTGACCAAAACGTGTTTCATGATTGTAGACTTGGAGGAAGAGAAAGAAAGATGAAGAAGGAATTTAAGTTCAGCTGACTGATTTCCTGCTGGGGTGAGAGTGTACGTTTTGAGCAGAGGAGAAAATGACAAAATGAGAAGGTGATGAAGAAAACTTACAAGCCATAAAAATCTTCCTCAATTTTTTTAAGGGAGAATTTTAGAAATTATTATGTGGAAAATAATAAATAACCACTCTTCAGTTCTAATGCCATCTAAGATTTTTAATTTATTTTCATAAAATAAATGGAAAGAATCCATGTATAATTTTGTCAGATCTAGATGGATATTAAATGAAAGTTTATATATCAAATGGAAATAAAAGGAGTTAAATATCTTTCTCTGAAAGATCAGACTGTACTGAGGTTTACTTTCACAACGTGTTTAATGGTTCTATGCATTTATTAGATTGTCAAAGCAGATTCTTATGGATTTTCCAAAACGTGTTTCATGGTTTGAAAAAATGCATTTAAATGTAAGGGGTTCCTCCCTCTATTCAACCTCACACAAACTATTGTAGATTACTTCTTCCAACCGGAATCTTTGACAGAACTATGAGCAATCTGAAAAGCCTCACAAAGCTGACTAATAATTAATATTACGACTCCTTCAAAAGTAACCCATGTGAAATCTGAGTCTGAAGTAGCCAAGTACGATAATTAAGCAAGCGAAAGCAAAAGCCTTGCAAAAGAAGCCACACATATATCACAAGCTTAACAGTAAAAAAGATTCTCTATATTGCCTATAAATTTGCATAGGAAAATAAAATCAGTTTAAAGAGATTAATTTTCTCTTCATATCTTTTCTTCTTAAATTAAAACTTTTAAAGAAAAAAAAAAAAAATCAGCTTCCATTGCTCATTCTCTAACCAAGTTTAGAAAGCAATTGAGTTTAGCTGGATCCAAACGCGTTTCATATAGAGTTTCCAAGTATATATTCTTATAATTGACAGAAACGTGTTTCATGATTGTAGACTTGGAGGAAGAGAAAGAAAGATGAAGGAATTTAATTTTAGCTGACTGATTTCCAGCTGGGGTGAGATGTGATGTGATCAGGGCGTACATTTTGAGCAGAGGAGACCATGGGCGTACATTTTGAGCAGAGGAGACTTTGACGAAATGAGAAAGTGAAGAAGACTTAAGGGTGCATTTGGTTTCATCTAATTGACCAAAACCCACGTGTTTCATTGTTTGTAAAAGCATTTTCTTATATGATTACCAGACCAATTAATTACCCTTTTGATGAAATGACTTCAATGAAATCCATCTCTGCTGAGAATTAATGGTCCAACCACTCCTTCAAAAGCAACCCATGTGAAATCTGATTCTGAACTCTGAAGTAGCCAAGTACAATAAATAAGCAAGCCAAAGCAGAAGCCTTGCAAAATAAGCCACACATATATCACAAGCTTAACAGTAAAAAAAAAAAAAAAAAAAAAAAATCTCTATCTATATTTGCATAGGAAAGTAATATCAGTTTAAAGAGAAATTAATTTTCTCTTGAAATCTTTTTTTCTTCAATTCAAACTTTTAAACAAAAATAAATAAATAAATTCAGGTTCCATTGCCCATTCTCTAACCAAGTTTAAACATGCGAGGAACATGATCTTAATTTGAATGCAAAATTTCGTTCTTTCTTATTGAGGAATTGACATTTTTCCTTTTGAGTTTTAATATTTATGGATTTAGATTATGAAATTAGAGCATAAGTGCTGTTTATCTGAATTCTATCGCGTAAACTTGGGTTTGGTTTAAAAAAAAAAAAAAAAACAGCTGGTTCACCTGATAAAATTAATGTTTGAAATGAAACCAATGGTTCACGAATTTCATATATAGACATTGTACATAAACTTTCTTTATCTCTCCTGAAAACTAGTTCAAGAACCGAAATCTCTCCGATGATACTCACAGGTGCATGTGTAACTGATCTTCTACTTGCTTTTCCTTTTTATTTTTCTATATATATTAACTTTGCCATGACATTGTACACATTTTAATTAATTTTCATGTATATTTTCAGTTGTTAGCGGCTTGATCTTGATGAAGAAGAGGATGATGATGGAGGTTTTTACTCCAGGAATAAGAAAAGTGTGGAAGGTATGGGAGCTAAGGTAATTGGTTTTCCTCAGCCTCGCCTCACAAATGGTTCTAAATTTTCTGGGCAACCGCAGGAAGTACATTCCCAAAACTTGGATTAAAGTTGTGGTCTGGTCTGCCTACTTGCTGGCGGAACTGTAGCAACTATTAGATGAAATTGATGTCTTTGAGCCGTGATAATTAGTTTTCCAACCTTTCTTCCACAACTTGGCCCGACATTAAATAAATTTTGGGTAGACTTCTTGCCCTATTGGAAAATCAAGTACGAAAATTGCATTAAGTTTCAAGAGTCATGATGTTTGAGTAAGTCTTCATGAAATAGATGTTACGACATGTGACAATTGGTTTTTCCACAACTTGGTCTTACAACAATAAAAAATCATTTAGAAATTGAAAATTGTAAGAGCCAATACCCACAGGAACAAAAAGCAATAAAATTAAGTAAGAGAGGATAAGATAATTTGAGCTTACTTCATACACAATGGAAACAAGGATATAAACTTATAATAAATCTTTGGAAAAAAGGAGCGAAAGATCTCATGAGCACTAATCTGTCCAATGTAATAGGATTAAAAACCTAAACTGAATTGTTCATCAATTATAATTGAAGAAAACAATTGGGTAGAAAAAGACTTTATATAGAGAGATTCTAAGAAACTTTTCACTTTGGTTGACCTTGACTCAAAAAATATTACCAAGTATTATTTTTGTAATTTATCTTCAAAATTGATTAATAATTAACTTCATTTCAAAAGTGGTTATGCACCTATACCTTTTCATATATACTATCTGGATATATATAAATTAAAATTATTAAGTATAAAGAAATTGATTCACTGAGCAACACACTATATGTCAATATAAAAATACAATGTTGTATATAATTTATTTAACAATAAAATATTACTTAATTAAATTAGTTATGGTAGAGGAAGCAGTCTCAAACCGCGTAATGGAAGCAGTCTCAAACCGCATAATCTGATTTTTCCAAGCTAGTTGCAGTCAATGGGAATTTTCCTTCCACAACAGTGGGGACCAGCATTAATTTTGCCCTTATTGACCTCTTCTATGTCCTACAGCAAATGAAGTTGTTCACTGAAAAGGCAATACTTCTATGTTTTTAGTCTATACAATATTGAGATCCAATAATATTATAAATAGCACAAAGCTAATCTCTTAGTAGCCAGAGAAGCAGTGCAATTAGTGTGTTATTAAGAGATGGGGTTAAAATGTGTGAGGATGTGGCTGATGTTGATTTTGATGTTTATTTCTTTACAAGGATGGAGGATTGAGGGGTGTTTGAAGCAAGAGAGATCTGCTCTCTTTCAACTTAAACATTTCCTGAATGATCCTAGCAATCTTCAAAGTTGGTTTGAGGGAAATGGAGATATAGACTGTTGTGTGTGGGACCGCGTTTTTTGCAATAGCATAACGGGTAGAGTGGTGTCTCTTTCTCTTGAATCTATAAGAAATCAAGAATTAGGAGAGTGGCATCTAAATGTTTCTTTGTTTTCTCCCTTCCAAGAACTGGAGACACTTGACTTAAGTGACAATCTCATAGTCGGTTGCATTGAGAATGAAGGTTATTCCATCCTCACTTTTAAATAATGAAATTTTACTTCCATGTCTTTATTAACAAGAATTGCTTTGTAGGTTTTGAAAGATTATCACACTTGACTAATCTCGTGGGTCTCCACCTCAGTGCCAATATGTTTAATGACAGCCGCGTTTTATCAGCTTTGAGCCAACATTCATCTCTCAAGAAGTTAAGTCTAGATTATAATCAGTTTAGAGAACTAAACCATTTTAATGGTAATGTTCTTTTACGTGAGATAACTTTTATTATCACTTTTACATTTAAGATTGATGCACAAAATTATGTACAGTTATTATTATTACTATTATTATATGTGTTAATTTCAGTTTCAAGGTTGAGTAACTTGGAGTCTCTGATCTTAAGCGGTAACATGTTCAACAATAGCATATTATCATATGTGTCTACTCTCTCATCATTAAAGGTATTATATTTGATTTACATTGGATTGAAAGGCACTATTGATCTTCAAGGTAAACTTGTTCTCATCTTTAATTTCTCTAATGTATAACAATTTATTTTGTCTCAAGGATCTCTCTCTCTTTGCTTTGTCAAACTAGAGTTGGAGATATTGAAATCAAGTAAATTAAAAGCTTTGGATAAGATTCTTTCGGAAACTTCAGTTTACTCAGTCCAAACATCTTCTTCATTTCCTCATGGTTTTAGCTGACTTTATAATTAAACTCTTTAAACAAAGAAGGTAGAGTAGTTGAGTAGAATGAGATTTCCAAAAAGGGATAAAACTTATATTCATTTAGGAAGACAATATTGAAGCCTATGGATATCTAGAAGTAATTGATGTTGACTTAATGAAAGTTGTTAATTAAGTTTTGATGATAAAAATGTTTTAATAGCATCTTATCATATCTCTAGTTGGTCTTTCATCATTAAAGGACTTTGTCATTGCCTTCAATGAAATTAAAAATCTTCTTAAATGTTTTTTTATTAGTTTTAATCACTCTGTTTTAACTCTTGCCAGAATTGGATTCCTTGAGCAACTTAGAGGAGTTGTACATGGGCGAAAATGAGATTAAAAAAATTGTATTCTCCAAAGGTATTTATTGATGGTTAATAATATTTAAGCTAACATTTATCATCCTTTACCAATATTTCTCAGCTTTATGAGACGCACAATAGCACACATGTGCTAGGTATTTTTATTCTAATTATTAAATCAAATAAATTTAAAGAACTTTGTTTTTCAATATGAGTTGAAAATATTTGTGTTTGAATATTTTCACAAACACACAGGTGAAACAAGTTTGAGGAAGTTGACTTGGCTTGGACTAAGCAATATGAATATTAGTGATGGAAGTAGTCTCTTACAGACATTGGGCTTATTCCCATCCCTAAAGTCTCTTGAATTCGATTATAACAATTTTAGTGGAGCAGTTACTACTAATGGTAAGTTACAATAATATTGAAAGTAAGTACATTAATTTGTTTTGCCTCTAAATTATTGTCATAATTACACAATGACTTTCCTAAAATTTATTTTGCCTTTTCAACAGAGTAGTAGCCTTTAGCTTCTATTATTCTACTTTCCATATAAACTTTCTTCGAAGCATTGGAGCATTTACATCACCTGAAAGTTTGCATAATTTGTAAATAATGATCAAGAAAACTGAAAATTGGAATTAAAACTCTATCTAGCATTCATTGACAAAAGACAATTTTTAGGATTCATTCCTTATTATTTACAATTTCCACAAAAAAAAAAAAATGAAAAAAAATTGAATTTTGTTTTTTATTAAAGGATTTGATGAGAATTGATTAGTTGTATGAATTGAAAATTGATTTATAGATTTATAGATCATTTATTTTTCGAAACACTAAGGATGTATTAATTAAAGTTACTTTTTAGTCTAACCTTTTTCTCTTTAAACGTACATTTTCTTGTTTTCACACTTATCAAACTGAACACAACTTTATTTCATTTCTTTCTTTATTAATGTAATTTTATCTTCTTTTATTTTTGTATTTAAGATTTTATTTAACCTTGTTGAATTTTCTTTTCTAGTTTAGCCCCTATACCATATTGAATATTCTTTTTCAATTTAGAATATTAAATAATTGGTGTAGATTATTGAATAATATTTTATCTGCTTTTGTGCTTTTATAGAGTTGCCTTCGTTCAAGAATCTGACAGATTTAAATATTTACAACACTGTTTTTCACAACAACTTTCTTCAAATGATTGAGGGTATGACTTCTCTTCAATATATTGATATTGAAAGTAGTAACCTCAGCATCAGCGACACTCTATTTGACCAAGGTTAGTAACTTCTCCTTACAAGTAAAATTTATAATTTATTGTTAAAAAATAATAATGTCATGTACAGAAATAAACATTATTATTGCACTAAAGTACCAAATCTTTTAATAAAAAAAATAACAAGCCTCCCATAAGAAGTATATATATATTATTCAATGCATACAAAATATGAGGAAAAATATCTTATATAATGCAAATAGAAAATATAAGAAAGAGATATGAGAAAGAACTGTTTTACTTTCTAAGCAGACCCTCATTTCATTTGCCAAGGTGCTTGTAGCCCACATCAATTTTCCTAAATCATGGGCTTTTCAAGCTGCTACTGTTGCTGCATTACGTAATAAAGATATACTTTTTAGCCCATATCTTTTTTTTTTTTTTTTTTTTTTTTTTTGGTTTAACATATCCTATTTTAATTAAGGATATAAAAGTAGTAAAATATTTTATTGAAATTGGTTCACAAAATTCATGGGTAAATTTTAGTTGAAATATCGTTTTTGAGAATTAAAGTGGTCCCATAGAAAGTCTAAAAAGGTTGTTTGTTTTTGAGACTAGATAAAAATGTATGGACTCCTCTTTAAGAAATTGCAACCAAGATTACCCTTTTGTTAAAAGCAACAAAATCAAACTAATTAAGAAAGATTAGGATTTATGATCAACTTAAAAGACGGTAAAGTCTTAGATGTCTCAAAGATCTCTTACAATTTTTAAATACTCATATGAAATTGTCAAAAGCCTTTTAAAAACCTTGAAATATATATATGTATTTGTATTTAAGATTTTATTTAACCCTGCTGAATTTTTTTTTTTCTACTTTAGTCCCTATACCATATTGAATTTTCTTTTCCAATTTAGAATATTAAAATAATTGGTGTAGATTATTGAATAATATTTTATTACTTTTGTGTTTTTGTAGAGTTGCCTTCATTCAAAAATCTGACAAATTTAACTATTTCCGACATTGTTTTTCACAACAACTTTCTTCAAATGATTGGGGGTATGACTTCTCTTCAATCTATTGAAATTAGAAGTAGTGACCTCAGCTTCAACGACGCTCTATTTGACCAAGGTTAGTAACTTCTCATTCTCCTTCTCCTTACAAGTAAAATTTATAATTTATAATTAATAATTAATAATGTCATGTACAGAAATAAACATTATTATTGCACTAAAGTACCAAAATATGAGGAAAAATATCTTATAATGCAAAAAGAAAATGTAAGAAAGAGATATGAGAAAGAACCGTTTTACTTTCCAAGGAGGCTCTCCACTAAAATGCCAAGGTGCTTATAGCTCACATCAATTTTCCAAAATCATATGGGCTTTTCAAGCCGCTACTGGGCAGTGCTGTATTATGTAAATTTTAGTTGAAATATCCTTTTTGAGAATTTAAAGTGGTGCATTGTTATTTGATTTGGTAAAGTTTGAGAGGTCCCATAGAAAGTCTAAAAAGGTTGTTTTTGAGACTAAAGAAACAAAGAAAGATGGAGACTAGATAAAATGTATGACTCCTCTTTACTGGATATCCAACCACACATTATAGAAGAAATTGCAACCAACATTACCCTTTTGTTAAAAGCAACAAAATCAAACTAATTAAGAAAGATTAGGATTTATGATCAACTTAAGAGACGGTAAAGTTTTAGATGTCTCAAAGATCTCTTACAATTTTTAAATACTCATATGAAATTGTCAAAAGCTTTTTAAAAACCTTGAAATATACATATATATTTGTATTTAAGATTTTATCTTAACCCTGCTTAATATTTTTTTCTAGTTTAGCCTCTATACCATATTGAATATTCTTTTTCAATTTAGAATATTAAAATAATTAGTGGAGATTATTGAACAATATTTTATTACTTCTGTGCTTTTGTAGAGTTGCCTTCATTCAAGAATCTGACAACTTTAACTATTTTCGACACTATTTTTCACAACAACTTTCTTCAAATGATTGGGGGTATGACTTCTCTTCAATCTATTGAAATTTCGGGTAGTGACCTCAGCTTCAACGACACTCTATTTGACAAAGGTTAATAACTTTTCTCTCTCCTTACAAGTAAAATTTATAATTTATGTATATAATTCTATTAAAAAAGAAATAGCGCACATAGCTAGTGTATTTATTAAATTTGTGCACTACAATAATTATTAAGCATATTGATTAAGTAACATTTGCATGACTATTATTACCCTTGTGCTTCATATAGTAACTATTAAGGAACATTTTTTTATTTCAGGAATTTGTAAGATGCTTCATCTTCAGCACTTAAACATGAGGGACAATGGTTTAACGGGCACCTTGCCTTGTTGTCTTGCAAACTTGACTTCCCTTCAATATCTAGATATCTCATACAATGATTTCACGGGTCCCTTGCCTTGGTGTCTAGCAAACTTGACTTCCCTTCTATATCTTGATATCTCATCAAATAATTTTAAGGGACAGTTTCCAGTTTGGTTGTTAAACAACAATACCAAGCTAGAAAGACTTTATCTATTTAATAATTCTCTTTCAGGGCCTTTGCAATTACCAATTCATCCTCACACGTCTTTGGAAGAATTAGATATATCCATCAATTCCTTCAATGGGCATATTCCAACAAAAATTGGAGCTTATCTACCAATGCTACAAATTTTAAACATTTCTAGAAATTATTTAAAAGGTAGCATTCCCTCTTCGTTTGGTGACATGAAGTCGTTGGAGCATTTGGATTTGTCTAGCAATTTGTTGACTGGAGGAATACCTGAGCATTTGGCCATGGGTTGCATCTCATTACAACTCCTTGCATTGTCAAACAATAGGTTGCAAGGTAAGATATTCCCTACAAAATTTAACCTAAAAAGCTTGTTATATTTACAATTGGATGGCAATCATTTCACTGGAAAGATCCCAGATAGTTTGTCTAATTGCTCCTTGGAAGGGTTGTATATAAGTGATAACCATTTTGTTGGCACATTACCAAGGTGGTTAGGAAATAAGTCATTTTTGATGGAAATTATCATGTCAAAGAATCATCTTAAAGGTCCAATCCCATTGGAGTTTTGTCAACTAGAAAGTCTTGAAGTATTAGACCTTTCAGAGAACAATATTAATGGGAGTTTACCGTCTTGCTTTCCGCCTTCCTCAATTAAACAAGTTCATTTGTCAAAAAATAAGTTACAGGGACAACTAAGTGATGGATTATCTAAAAGTTCTTCTCTAACGACGCTAGATATTGGATATAATCACTTTGAAGGCAACATTCCTGATTTGATTGGTACGTTTTTTGATTTAACTTACCTTATCTTGAGTAATAACGATTTTCAAGGTGAAGTGCCAATTAGTTTGTGTAAGTTAAGTCAATTACGTTTGATAGATCTTTCTCACAACAAGCTTTCTGGACATATCCCTCCTTGTTTAAATATCACAATAGTCACTGTTGCATCTGATCATGTACTGTCTCTTGAAAGGCTTGTAAATATGTCTCTTAGAAAGGGAGAAACTATAGAGTTTACAACGAAGACTAGATCTTACTCTTACCAAGGAAGAATTCTTAGCTACATGTCTGGAATTGATCTCTCCAACAATAAGTTAGTTGGTGCGATTCCTTATAAAATTGGAAATCTTGTCGGAATCCATACACTTAACCTGTCTCACAACAACTTGACAGGACTAATCCCATCGACATTTTCAAATCTCAAGCAGATCGAGAGTTTAGATNAGGTCATCTGCTGTTAAATGTTTTTGAGGCTAGATATTATGTCCATAGGCACCCCATCCTTTGTCCGTCATAGTAATTGGCGACTTCTTCCTCTTTCCTTTGGTAGCATAGTTTCAGACTGAGAAATTTGGAATTGGATTTAAAAAGGCAAAAAGACTTGGGCAATTTGGCAAATGAAAACTACTCATTAAAGGCAATTACTGCCTTAGAGATCTTAGGCCATTGCCAGAATTAGATGGATCAATAGTCATGAAGTGCATTTAAATTCTATTTTTCAAATTCACTGGATTCTTTATTTTTTATTTTATTTTACTTTTTTGGTCAGTGTCTTTTATTTACTTTTAACCATGGAATCAGAATTTTGATTAAAATCTGTTTGGGGTGATCGAGAAACTTTTACAAAGTTTGTTGGGTGTAAAAGTAAAATTTTATAAATTTTGTGTGAATGATTAAAATTTGGTCAAAGGATAAAAAGTAGCCACGTGGCAAAGAGGAGCCCAACGATTGGCCCAACGAGTGCACTGGGCGATGGTGGCTACTGGCTAGCACTCCTCATGTTAGGATTTAAGAGAGTGAGACTTTTTTTTGCCGTTGACTAATGATATAAATTAAGAATAACAGACCGTGACAGACATGTGACAGTTTCTAAAATGGGAGGGTACTGAGTAGTTTATTATATATTTGGGGTGTGATAAAAACTTAAAATTTAGGGGAGGTAAGAATAGCACTAAAGATCATTTCACCCCAAAATCTTGGTAAAACACTCAATTCGCCCTTAAAACGAGACTGTCAGTGGAGTGGCGTGCGGTTTCTTCTCATCTTCTATTTCTGAAAACAACATTCTGAAACTAGCAAGTGAGAGACTACCTTAAACATAGCCTCTACAATTACAGCTGTAGCAGTTGTGTTGGAGCTTTCATATTCGCCAAAGCTGATTCAGGGAACTTCTTCTTCCTCTTCTTCTTCTAGGCCGTCTCGTCGTACTGTAAAAATGACGGACTCTATTAAAGATAAAATAATGGAGGCTTTTGATTTTTATTAACTTTTTTTTAAATCATGTAGCTAATTTGTTTTGATTTAAACGCTAAATTGTTTAGTTTCAGTAGGGGATTTAGGGATTTCTTTTTATCAAAGTTGTTATTGGGTTAATGATAAGAAGGCTGTTAGGATGACTTAATATTGCCAGGTATTGTCACATTGGTGAATGTCTGGCCGCATCGCCTTTCCTTATCACTGTGAAACCACAAGTAAAATGAGAGCCTTTATGGCATTTGTCAGCACCTACAACAAATGTGCATCTGCTAATTTTGAGAAAACCTAAAAGGAAAGGGGGTTCTTGGAGCCAGAGACGAAGCAAGATAGAAGATATGGGACAGAAATTTCCAAGTCGTAAATGGAGGATAAAATTTTTGTGTCCAACTCTCAGATTGTGCGGCCAGATAGCCTTCCTCTATTAGTTAGTGCACTGCAAGCTTCAGCCAAGCAAGATGTGGCAAGTTTTTACTTTCCTGGGCGTTGGTGTAAGACCTTTTATTCATGATTTACCTGAGCTTGACAACCTCTTTTCTCCAGGTGGACCAATTTTAGAGGCACAAAAGCAAGCTGGAAGGTTTTGTAAGTTCAGAGTTTCCTCAACTTGTATGTAAGCTTACCAAGGCACTCTATTGTCTCAAAAAAGCTCCAAGAGCTTGGTTTGAGAGGTTGAAGACTGCTATACTAAAGGGGATTAAAAATTTCAGTAGTTGATACAAGTTTATTTGTTTACAAACAAAATGGCAAAGTCATCTATGGTTTAGTGTCTGTTGATGACATCCTCTTTACTGGAAATGATTCTGCTTAGATCAAGCACTTGATCTCTCATTTGAATTCTCAGTTTGCCTTGAAGACTCTAGATGCTCTGGACTATTTTTGGGGATTGAAGTTCTTAGTACTTCTTCTCTTATTCATCTAATTAGTCAACAAAATATGCTGAAGGATTTATTGGAAAGAGCAGGAATGATTGATGCCAAGCCTTGTTACACTCCAAAAGCTCTTGGAACGAAGCTTAATACAGATGACAGTAATGTTTTTTATCAACCTGTAGTGTATAGAAGTATTGTTGAAGATTTGCAGTACTTACTACTAATTAGACCAAATTTAGCTTATTTTGCGAGCAAGCTAAGTCGATTTTGAAATTTCCTACAACACTACACTGGAAAGCAGGCAAACGAGTACTCAATTAACATAGATGAATGCAGCTGGAATGTTATGCTGATGCTGACTGGGCCAACAGTTTGCATGGTCCCAGGTCTAGTGATTACTGCTTGTTTTTAGGATCTAATCTAATCTAGTGGAGCTCCAGGAAACAAAAATTGGTAGCATTTCCTTCAACTAAAGCTGAATATGGAGCCTTGGCTCAAATTGCTACTAAGGCTGCTTGGATTTATAGTTTGTTCTTTGAATTGGATTTAACTTTTATTGGTTTGCCTATAATCTGGTATAATAATACAAGTGACGGATCTTTTGCTTCTAATCTAGTTTTCATGTTAGAACAAAACATATTAAGATTGATGCTTATTATGTTAGTGATCAAGTTACTTATAAGAAACTTGTTATTCAACACGTTCTGTCAAAGTTTCAAACCGGAGATATTTTAACCAAGGCCCTGTCGGCTGCTGGGTTTGAGCAACTTAGAGACAAGTTGCAAGTTGTTTCGGTTATTAATTTAAGGAAGAATGTCCCATGAATTACACCTGATTGTTTTCAAGATGGTTTGTTTAAGTAGCAAAAATTTTGAGTCTAAAATTGGTCAACTCTGAAGGAGGATTTGATGACATTGAAGATGTTGAGTATTGAGAATTCTGAAGTTGCTACTCTGAAGTTGCTTAGAGCCAGGGAGGATTTACAGGCTTTGTAGGTGTTAACCGTTGAAGTTGTTTTATTCTGAAATTTTCAAGTTTCTAGTTCAAAAAATAATTCAAAATTCAGTTTGTGGCTTTAGTTAATTTTGTATAACTCTTTTGTGTTAATATTTTTTGTTTGTCTGAAAATGATATCTTAAAAATGTCAAACAGAAATTGCGTTCAGTATGGTTGTTTAAAAGCACAAAGAAAGAAATGAAAAAACAGAATTTAGCACCTCAACAACTAATGGAACCTCTTCAAATTACCACTTATTTTTATTCATCAAAAAATTTGTCTCAATTTCAAATCTGCTAAAATAATATTGAATGTGATTCACACGAATTCCTATACAAAAATAAGCTTACCCTGAAATTTAAAAAAGAAATCAAACAATTATTAATAAATCTTTTAAGTAAAAGTTTTAAAGTTTTAAAAAAATGGCCACCGACGGGTCACAAGTTTTAAATTTATAGATATAGTAATTTAATTTTTTATATATATAAAATAAATGTTAATTTTTTAATAATTTAACAAATATTCAACCATATTATTCATCATATGTATTTATTTGTAGTGCGGGCCTTGAATTACATGGTTCAAATAATTAAAAGAAGAAAATAAAGATAAAATGACACAATGTCAAAGTCTTATACTGTTGTGTTACGTATTTGCATTCATGAAGTTAACGTCTTTGAGCAGTGATGATTGGTTTTTCCAACATTTCTTCCACGGCTTGCTCCTATATTGGATAATTTGTGTGTTAATTGGTTGACTTTTTGCTCCAAAATTAGAAAATAAGTTGTGGAAATTGTATTAAGTCTCATGAGTCATGATGTTTGAGCCAATATTCATGAAAATATATGATATTTATGAGCTATGACAATTGGATTCCAATACGGCAATGTCATCAGCTTAAATCCTAAATATCATTTATTTTCATGAAAATTGATATAAACTCACTACTTTATTATCGTAAATATTGTATATGTTGAAAGAGACTACCTTTATTGTCGTAATTAAGAGAGAAGCTTTAATACCATGTCAAAATGGAAATGGCAAAAGAGACAATTAAAGAGAGTTGGAGTATCTCCTAAAGATATCTTTGAGAGAGTAAGAGAGATAATTGAAAAAAATCGGAGTATATTTAAGAGATATCTTTGAGAGGACAAGAACTGTACTTAATTGAATTGAATTATTTGTATTGAATTGATTAATGTATGTTAATTTTCAGTTGTTAGCAGCACGATCTTGAAATTATAAAGGCCTTGTTTCTTTTGAAGTTTCCAGGATGCTGCTCGGAAAATGGGTTGGAGTCATTGGAGGATGACTTTCTTGGAGATGATTGGTTTAAGACTTTAAGTCAATTGAAACAATAAAGGTGCTGTTTGGCGATGAATTTGTTTTATGTGCGTGTTTTTGTTTTCAGTACATTTTCTATACATTAGAATGGGTGGAGAAGCCATTCCTTTACTCAACTCTGTTCTGGCCTTTTTCAAAAACAAACTCCAACTTTCGTCCTCAGTTAGTGGACGTACTCGGAGAAGAAGAATGGCTGGATCAATATGAGTTGCTATATCAGGGTCACGGATAGTTAAGATGACCCTGCTACCATTTGATGAGATTGGAAAGACCACTTGGAGTTTCTCCCACATAGCAGGTGTATGGACATCATCCAAGACAATTAAGTACCTCTGCGTGTTTAATAAATTATGAAGCTTTTCCTGCAATTTCTCGAGTGGCAATTTCTCTTCATCTCTAACCTCAGTCACCTGCTTCAATATTTGAACTAAAAGATTTTTCTCTTTAAAATCTAGAGAAACACAAACCCAGGCACGATTGTGGAAAATTTTCTTTATCTCTGAATGGTTGTAAACTCTTTTCACTAGAGTTGTCTTGCCAGAACCTGCCACACCCACCACCGATATTAGAAGCTTCTCACGAGTCAAAATTAATCTACTTAATTCCGAAACTTCAGAATCGAAACCAACAATATCTTCTTCATTATTTATCTGATGAAAAACTGTTTGCAAGTACTGCTTTTGCAAACAGTTTTTCATCCAAAACTTCACAATATTTTATGGTAATGTCATAGTGGGGCATCAACCATTTGAAATTGTGCTCAGGGTTTTCATCAGAAGTTCTTTTGCGCAACTCGATGGGCATCGAGTCGGTCAGCTGATCCAAACATTTTTTCATCTCGTTGCTGAAACGAAATTGCACCTTGGATGACCTCAAGAAAGGAAACTTAATGAAAACTTTATGTCTCTGCAAATTTGTGTTTAGAAGGAAGGTGTGTATGGCATCGTCTGCCAGATAAACAGCTTGCAGAAACTTGATCTTCCAGTCATCAACTGTCAGATCACTTCCTTTGTCAGCCTCTGTACCTCCCAAGATTTTTAGGGAATCTACGAGCTTCTCCATGACCTGTCCGAATGTTGTCTCCACTATTGGACTAATTGGAAAATTAGAATATATCCATGCATCATGTAGGTTCCTAACCGCAAGCCCAATGATTGCTTCAATAGCCATGGATTCTCAATCTCCGTTTCTCTCTCTTTTTTTTTTTTTTTTTTTTTAACCCCCTTAGATAAGAGACTGTATAAAGTTTCAACTCATGTCTCCTTTGCTCATAACTGTAATATAGCGGGCTCTAAACATTCTTTTATAATTTATAATTTTTTATTACTTTTTGATGGAGAAGACTTTACGGTTGTGATTACTTCATATAATGCACAAGAAGCTTCATAGTCCACATACGTCGTTTACTTTTAATAATAAATAGTGACGAAATTTATACTTTTTGGGTAAAATTATCCTTAACATAAGTAAAAAATATATATGTATAAATGATTATACATACAATTTTTTTTTTTTTAACTAGAGGTATTCGGACCAGTTTACGTACATCTTGACTAGTCCCTTGCCTCCAAACAAAGTTTCTGAAATAGGGCAAATCTTGCGGTCCGTGACTAACAACATTAACAACCATTCTTGTGATTCGACAAACATTTGACCTCAAGCTTTTACCATTCACACAATCCATTGTCTATGCTATATTTCATATATTCAAGTGTCTCTTTGCAGATTTGAGCACTAGCGACATCGAGCGAGAAAGCATTGAGCCTTTATTAAAGGATATGTCTCATAAAGATGTTTTTAGTGTGATCGCCATCGAACTAGGATTCATGTAAGATCTGCTATACACCAAGGCCATCGTAATTCATACTTGTTGGGGTCTAACTCGCCGGGTTATTACTACTTGTCTCACCAGCCTTGGGTTGCTGATTTTTTGTTTTCTTGACAAGCAGAAATATTCCAAGTTTGATGTTACCGGGTATAGCTATCCTTCTGGAGATATATGCTACTCTTGTTCTATTCTTCTCTGATCAATCTAGATATTGGTTCATTGGGCGGAAGAAGAGCAATATCATCCTACAACCCATGTATCTTTTGAAACCAATGTTTTCACTACCACGGTGGTCAAATTCCATTGGGCATTACAATTTTACAAGTCTTTGCATCAAAGAAAAATCTGACTGTAAAATCCCGAGGCTCCGTCAGATGGTCAGACTACTGAAAAACAATGGTTTGTGGATAAACTACTACTAAAAATGAACCAGTACAAGGATAAACTACTGGAAAATCGCCAGTATAAAATGTCTTATATACAGCTGACCGAAGAATTGCAAGAGCTGATTTTCAACCATGTCAAGTTGGAATATGAACAATTCAAGGAGAATAGAGGAAGCGACACGAATCTTAGAAAATTGCAAGAGCTAATATTCAATCATGTGAAGAGGGAACATGATCGAGTTAACGAACATAGAGGAAGCGAAGCAAATCCCGGAGAATTGCAAGAGCTGATCTTCAACCATGTCAAGAAGGATGTTGACCAATTTAAGGAGAATAGAGGAAACCTCAGGATGACAAGGGGAAGCCGTGCTCTTGAAAATCATAGTATGCTTAAATGGAGTGTTGAGATGGACTTTGACGAAAGTATCCTTATCTGGCACATTGCAACAGAACTTTGCTATTATCAGGACAAAAATTCAAGAGTGCTCGCAATTGAAAATAGCAGTACTGTTGCTAAGATGGGCATGGTGTTGTCAAAATATATGATGTATCTCCTTGTTCAGGATCCTTTACTGTTGCCAGTTGGAGTGGGGGGTGTACTCAAGCGTCCGGATACTCTTTCTGAGGTCAGGGAATATTTCAAGAAACACAGTATCTCCATTAAGCGTTTCGACCCATCAAACGAAACTGAACATAACACCGGAGATAATGGCGACAATAATGACGATAATTACTTCCTGTTTTGTCGTAGAATTAACTTTTAATTTTATGTTAACGGAGAAAATAATAAAATTAGTTAATTACAACATACTTTTCATATATTTTAGTGGTTTTCTTGACCATAAGGTTTAATCAAAGGACTAAATTTCTCTTGAAATTTCAAAAATAACATAACTCCTCCACATTAGTCAACCATTAATGGATGGTTAAAATTTATAATATAATGGGTTTTTAAATATTCACTTAATTATTTTGATTATATCTTGCGGAGATTATTGTTATTAAGTCTATAATTTACAAAATTATAAAAATTCAAGTTACAAAGAGCCCAAATTTGTAAACTTACCTCTCCAGGGAAAAACGGTGCGTTTTTATATAGAAGAACCAGCTTTAAACGCTGTCGTTTGAGTTCATCGTCTTCTTTTAGCCTTTTGCCAAATGCTAATGAAACGAAACCCCCGGCAAGAGCTCTTTGAGCTTTCCCTTAGGGTTTAAGTTGAAGTTACAGTCGCGGTTTTCTCGAAACTCTGAGACGCTGTCTTTTTGTCACGGCGTAATGGGGGTTGATATGGAGACCTCTTCTAGCTTCCTGGACCCGGAAGATCTCTCCATCAGGGAACAGTTTCGTCGTTACGGGTAAAATTTTTTAATATTTTTTAATATATATATTTTTTTTTTGAGAGTGTAGATTATTTTCTTGAGTTTAGTTGTAAAAAATTTAAGTTCGTTCAGCTGTAGAAGAAAACAACGTTCGCGGTTTCAGCTTTAGTGTTCTACTTCTTCTTTGCTTCGATCACCATGGACTGTTCCTTTGTCATAACACTTTTAAAGAAAGGCAAAGGATGAAAGTTGAAACCTTTAAGAGTGATAATTGGAAAAACCGGAAACGAAATCCTCAAATTGAAGCGAACGAATAGAAAAAAAAAAAAGAATGGGTTGAAATCGGGGCATGATTTATGGGAAAATGTTTATTTTTGCATTGTCTCAGCTTCTTCATTGGTTGTCTTGTAGTATGTAGTTGTGAATTTGTCATTGTTTTTTCCTATTATATTCTATATTTTGTTTGGTCTCTCTCTTTTCTTTTGACTGTTCTATAATTGGTCAGGGGAAGAGGTGGAATTTTTGAGGATTAGAATTAAAAAAGTTGTTCTTAACTCTCTGTACTTTGTTTTGTAATCATTTTCAAGCATGCCGCATGTGCAGGAAAAGGCACTCAGCTTCAAGCATATCCCCTCATCAACAACGTTCAGTTTTGAAGAACAATGACCCCGCGCTGTTGTATGATGGGACAAATATCGACAGTCCAACTAACACTGCATTGATTCTTGAAAATATTAAGCAAGAGGTTCAGAGCTTTGACTATGGAGGAACACCGGTTAAGATGCAACCTGCTAGTAAAAGGAGGTCGTCAATTGATAGCCATGGCATCTTTGATACTGATGTTGGTCTTTGGTCTTGATTCAATCCACTTAGGAAGTCAGTCACTAAAAGCTTGCAAGATTGAGAATGACGCATTGGCAGATAGTGGAGAGACAACCTTTGCTCTGTTTGCATCTCTACTGGATTCTACTCTTCAAGGTGCTTGAAGTAAAATTCTGAGTATAGAGTGCTATAATTGAGATCATTATTTATTTATTTTAAAACTTTGTCATAATGATATAATTTGTTAAGTAATTAGTTTTTTGGGATTTGTTTGAGTGGCCTTATTAATTGATTTTGCTTGTTTCTGGGAGGTGGGAACTAATAAAGTTAAATAGTCTGTTAAACTATTACACTAAAACTTATTGTGTGAGTTCTAGGAAATGCTGGACTAATTGATGAAAATGTTTATGCAGATTGACATTTATCTTTTGAGCTTTTTTAGACTGCATATTTTTTTCCTTCTTTTCATAAACATTTTCATGTTGGTCCTTTTTTAATTTTTCTGCGACCACAATCGTCCCTTGAGTCCATTTCCATCAAAATATACCCAAGATCTGGCCGAAATAGGTTCGATTTCGGCCAGATCTCACCGACATCGACGTCGGCATTCCAGGCTAGATCCCATTGATTCCGGCAACAACAACCCTCCCCATCACCCCAGAATTACTCCCCTTTTCCTTCCGACCAAAACCCACCTCACCCCACCGCCGTAATCCTCGTCAATCGCCGGAAAAGTGTCATCGTTGCTGCTGCCAGTTTTGTTCGATTTCCGGTCGATTTACTCACCGGAAATCAACTCTTTCACCGCCATTACATTCACTGGAAATTGCTCTTCAAAAGCCCCAACATGCCGACAGTTAATTGTTCGCCGACCATCACCGGAAATCCTGGGGTATTGGCCTATTGGGTGAATAGGAAAAAATTAAACCCGGCCCGTTGAAGCTTCCGGGTCCCGGTTCAACCGGCCGGGCCGGGCCGGGTTTTAAAACATTCTGAACCGATTAGGTGAGTGCTATTATGCTCTTTCAAGGTTCTGTATTTCTTGTGTGCATGACATTTGATGTCATGGTATGGACAAAATTACAGTAGCCTACATCTTTTCCTTATTACTAAGGTAGTGTCTGTGATTCTCCCTTTTGTCAAATTGATTTGTTTCCCTGGTTACATTAATAAATACACTGGCATTATAGCAAGTTGGAAATGATTGACCTCATTCATTGCATCTTCTTGTTCATTTTTAGATATAAATGGAATACTTACTGCTATCTACTTTATGGAGTATATTGGATAAAATCTTTAGTTTATTAGGTAATATCAGTGTTTTGGGGGGGCCATTTGACTTCATTTTGTTTGTTGGCTTTGCAGGTATTTGTCCAACATACAGTTGAGGGTTGTGGAGGACAAGTTGATGAGGCAGAATGCTCAGCTCTTGCTTGATGAGGCCGCTTCGTGGTCTCTTCTGTGGTACCTATATGGAAAAGGTAATATATCTTTACCTCTAAAACATTTTCAGCTACAATTGATATTTAGTTGATAAATAAGTAATGTCTTAGGAAAGAGTAATATACCACCTAATCTTATTCTTTTTTCTTCTGCATAATGTAAATCCGTATCTTTTTGGTCTTCTTTTTCTTCTTGATATAATTTATTTGCTAAATGTATTGAAGATATTCATTCCCCTGTAGTTATCAGCATATTTCTTCCTGTATGTTGTTGGGTGCTATGTCATCCCCTTGATGTTAACTTTCCTCTTCAATTTTTCACTGTCTGCAAACCTTGTGTATGAACTTAGGGTCTTAGGTATGACATTCTGG